TAACCAGGCCCAGCAATAAAAATATTTGGCACCATGACTGGACAAACCAGTTGCTCTTCCCTTTCAAGCTAAACATAAGATCACATCACATAAGAAACACATCTCCCATTTCTGCCACTGTCTAGCATAAGCATGCAACTCAGCTGCATTTAGCTGGCAATCATCTAAAAATCGTTGCGTATGTAACTACGTGCTCCAGACAAACTTCATGGGAAAGGTCTCTTTTGGAAAGCTCAGGCATTTTGTAGTGTACATCATCTGGTAATTGTCCCTTTCTCTAAAACAACATATCATCATCTGTTTCTTTTGGTAAGTTTCCATCAGTACACAGCTCAAAGAAAATATTCTTTTAAAAACTCTTAGTGACCATACATACCTGGATATCCACAGCTGCTCAGATGAGTAAGAGAACCATGTGTAGAGTAAATGCTGTGCACACAGGGCAGAAAATTCAACATCTGCAAAAATGAAGGTAGAAGTGCCATTAGGATGATTAAGCAAACAGAAAGGCTATCCTGCAATAGGAGATAAAGACTGTCAGGCAAGTGAAATTAAATTCTTGAGAGGATAAAATTATTCTCTTATATTATTCTCTTATAGCAGATACACATAATAGAAGGTGATAGTTTTTTAAACTATAGGGTAATATTGGCACTAGAAGAATAAACAGGATGTGAATTAATTTAGACTGAAAATAAGAATGCATTCCTAATCACCAGGGCATTTTGGATGAAAAGGAGAATGATGATGGCGAAAGACACTAACCACTTTTAAGATCAATATGGTTATGAAACTTACAGATGAATGGTTACCTGACCTAAGGACCTTAAATGTCATGCTATTAAATGCTATTTGCACTTAAATGTCATGCTATTAAATGCCTTCTTTGTATAACACTTTGCTGTCATAAACCGGTATCTAATGGGTTTAACTTGTTTTAAGTCTGAGGATATTATAAGACAAAAACCACATCGCAAAAAGTGGTAATGTAGCTCCTGATTAAATCCAGATAGTCTTGGAGTTGTTCAGACACCAAGGAAATGCTTTGGTAATCAAGTTACAAATTAAATTGTCATATAACTTATTGAAGAAACGATGTAAATTGTCAAAGCCTACACTCCCATCCCCCAAAACTGAGACTAAGGTACACTAGGTAAAAAAGTTTCAGCCTATAAATGACAGATGAAGTCTCTATCTTACAGGGATGCTGTGAGCTTGCATGAGAAAATAACACACTTCAGGTCAGAATTTATGATGGGTAAGAGGACTAAAGCAAGAGGAGACGTGTCATAAATCTCACCTTTCCCTCCACTTATGATGAAAACAAGCCATTTTTCTCACTGGCTTTAGGTATGTTCTGAGATGTTGCAACAGATTAAAGAGGGAACCTTAGTAACACTCTAGCCTCAGGAATACCAAAACTATCCACACTCAACTATAATTTACTTGAGTTTTAGCTAGTGTACCTTGGTACACTCAGCTATAATCTTACGTCCACACAAGAGCTTCTAGGACACAAAGTCTTGCTTATTATTACCTCCCCTGGATAGCCTTTCATCGCCACCTGGAACACTGAGCCTACATGCTTTCCTTCCTTCAGAAAAGTATTGTCATTCTCTTTCAGGATCCCATCACTGAGATAGAAATACTACCTCCAAAACTGAATATGTCCAAGGATTGCTTCCACATAAAAGGTGCCAGGTCTTGCCCTTTACCTGCCCTGGGCAGCCTTTGATCTGTCCCGGGAGCACTGGGGCTATTACTTCCTATGGAAAGGAGCCCATCACCGAATTAAGGATACCACCTTCAATAACGAATACCATTGCTCCCACTCGAGAGTAGCCAGGGCAGAAAGATCTTGCTGGTTACAGTCCAGCGGAGTGTGGAGCGAGTATGGTTTTCTCAGCCAGTCTGAGCGTCGCACGCTCATAAGGACGCCCGCGTCATTATCCTGCAGACACGGTGGTTCCTGCGAGGTTCCCGACAGAACACAGGAACGCACAGATTCCTCGGCATTCCCGGGCTGCCTCGCGGCGGGGCAGGACGCGGGTGGCGCGAGTCACGCCGGTGGCGCGGGCAGCGCGCGGCACGTGCCGCGGCGACCGCCAGGGGGCGCGGCGGTGTCGCGCGGGGCGGCGCGCGCGGCCCGGCATGCACCGCGGCGGCGTTTGAATGGCGCAGGCTCGGGGCGCCGGGCCCCGGCAGTAGCGACCCCGCCGATCCCAGCGATCCCGCCGCCCCGCCCGCGGCCCGGCCCGGGACCATGAGCAGCGGGTGAGTGAGGCGAGGGAGCGCGAAGGTTCCCGGAGCCGCCGGCCTTGGGGAGCGTGGCGGGGCCGCGCTGTGCCTCGCCGGACGCAGGTGCGGCTCACAAGCGCCGCGCCGGGCGGGCGGGCCGGCGGCGGGGACGCCGATAGATCCGTCTCGCTCCGTCCCGCTCCGTCCCGCTCCTCGGCGGCCCCTGCCCAGCCCTGTGCGGTGCCCCCAGCTTCCGCGAGCGAGATCTGGCACTTTGGGCGTTCTCTAAGATGGGGCCATGAGCCCCAGCACGGAACAGGCGTGTACAGAGGCAGATACGTGCCAGGAGAGCGAGGAAAGCTCCCGTGCTGCAGAGAAAGGGAAGACAACAAGCTGGGTGTAAGGCCTGCTGACGGATTTAATTTCTTGGGTGTGACAGATTCCAAGGAGGAAAGGGGGGAGGGGGCGCGGGGGGAATCTTTGGTTCTTGAAGATCAGATCCTGCATTAATTATTTTCTTCAAAAGCCTTTAAATTTATTTTTTTCAGTGTTGTGCTGGAGTAGTTTGTCATGCAGATCTAAATGACGTTTTGAATAGGGAGATTTATTAAGGAGAGAGATTTGGAGGTAGTTTTAGATACCTGTTGTTTCTGTTTTTGAAACGTGCTCTGCTTTGAAGCTTTCTTCCATCTCTTCATGGAACATGAATTTTGCTTTTCTCACTTTCTTCTTTGTACTATTCTCTGGCTGAAATCAGAGAAATAAATTCTAAAAAAGGATAGTTACCCCTGTTTAGTAAAATTAAAGCATAACAGAAGGCAGTCTAGTGCCTCTTTGGCCTTGCTGATTGGAAAGAACATCTTGTTCTTGTCAAAAGATGTCACTTTAACTTCTTATTAACAGTTTTTAGACGTTTTGATCAAAACTTATAATAGTTTTGATTAAAATTTCTGTGAAGTTATTTCATTAAAGTCAAATTACCATTTATTTGAATTCCTCAACTTTATAACTCAGGGTTTCATTGTAATATATTAAAATAATATTGAGGTATTTTATATGTGTATACTAAAAAACATATACATGAGTATTCCAATACATATGTATTACTATATAGTAGTGTGTATGTATATTCTCTTACCCAATTTTGAATGTTTTCTTTTCAATCTATTTTTATTGTAATAATTTAAATAAGCTTTTTTTTTTCTGATTTTAACTATGTGTTGGTCCCAGGGTAATAAGCTTGCCTATAATTAAGAAAGTTTTTAAAATATTATAAACGGATTGTAGTGACAAATAGAAGTGTATTTGATGGTAACATGAAAACTCATGTGAAATGTAGTCATAGACTGTTCATTCAGATGGGGATGTAGTGGGGATGCCTCCACTAAGTGGACCTTGAGAGGTTTTTGAATATGTCTCTTTCTGGGTTTGAATTCCAAAATGTTGTTGCAGTTTTTTTAAAACCCTTTGGATTGAGCAATAAATTTAAAAAAAAAACCAAACTGTATTTAATTTTGTAAGTAGTTTCTTAAAGCTTCTGTAAAAATATTAATATGGGAGCTTCAGTGTATTGGAAACTTATATTCTATATAGCAGCTCTCAGATAATGTTAGTTATAGAACTTTTCCAACCTTATTATGTCTAGAGTGTTCATAACTGAAAATGAACAGGTGAAGGTATCTTTTCATTACCGAAGGATGACTTCAGAAAGAACTAAACCACTGACAGCTACTGGTACTTTATGGCAGCTTAAAATATCTGTAAATGGTACCTTCAGATGCAGAAAACTGGGTACTTGTTTGACTTTTTTTTTTTTTTTTAGAGAAGGTGAATAAGGTTCAGCTGGGGGCACCACACAGGGCTGGGTTATCTCCACAAGGAGAGCTAATGCACACCTGCGTTCACCCTCGCTCAACTTGAACAAACTTCTAGTCATTTTTGGCGGTTCATTATGGCTGTCAGTGGGCCACAGATAAATTCCATATGTAAGAGAAAAATGAGCCTAAACCTTAGGTATAAGCTAACTTACCCTAATTAGTTATTCAATTAATCTTTGTCTTTATTGCATATTTAACAAAATTCCTGTGATTTTTATCAACACAAGAAACTTTAAACTGGAGCAAATGACCTGACAGGTATTGCACATTAAAAAACTGTGTCCTGCTAGCCTATAAGGCACTTTTTATAGTGTTGCAGAAAAATTTTGCAGTAACATACTCCTTACAATCTTGAACTCTGCTTTCTTTTTTTTAAGAAAATTCAGTATTTAACACCTAGTGAACTGTCAGTACATAAATTACTAGAAAAGGAATTTGGAAAAAAAAACTGTTTCATATTCAAAGGATGTGGAAGCCTTCTAAAACAGAATGTTATGGATGGATTCTGTAACATTTTTCAGAAGTAAAATGAAATTAAATTATGCGAGGCTTACAAAATCACTTTTACATCATAAGATAGTGCTAATTTTTTTTTGTAGACAACTTACCCTTTTGGAAGTAAATTTGAAATAACTGTTGTTAGAGGTTTCTTGTGAACATTTCAAATCTGATAATGACCAGAGAAATTAGTTGACCATTACTGGCTCCCTGATGTATACCTCATTGGAATGTTTTCAAAGAATGAACTCCCCTCCTTTGGAGTCACAATTAATTTACTCTTTCATCTGAGTTTAATATTGTCACCCTTGAACTTGAGTTAGTAAGGAGTGGGGAAGAATTACAGGAACGTTTGCAATGGCCAGTGTACATGGAATGCTATAGGAAAAAATAGCTACTAAGAATGTGGTCAAAGAATAGGATGGAAGAATGTTGGTTTTAAAAGATATTGCTGATGACTTAAGATATCCAGCTATTTTATGTTTTCTTTGCCGCCATGCGAAGTACTCCAGTCTATGTTCTGTAAGAAAATAATGTTATGTTAATACTTGTGTAGATTACATAACGTGCCAAGAAGAGTTTGTCCCTCTCTGGGGGCCATGCCCAGAACATAGGATAGGAGGGAGTGGCAGAGTTGTTAATACTTGCCTTAGATAGATATGCACTAGAAAGCCTGTTAGTGCTGACTTTCTTTGCTTGATTCTGGTATGGCTTGAAGAGTTTTATTGCATCTGGGAGAGATCAGAGATAGAAAGTAGCAGAAGAACCATCAAGAAAACTTTGCACAGGTCTTGTCCTGTGGAAACAAATCAGCTTACCTATCAGGATATATGGTATTACTCTAGTCCTTCTGCTTTATGAAAATTGAGGACAACAAAACGGGGAGAAGGGAAGGTCGTCATCTACTATGAGAAATCATCTATGTGATGGGGGAAATTGGTGTAATTTGAGCCTATTATCTTAATGAAATTGTCCATCTGTTCACATTTGCAGTCTGCTTTGTTATAGTTGTAAAACAATTTAGGATTGTACGATAGATTGAGGCAGAGCTGAAGGAACATACATTCTGTCCTTAGTTTAAAAAGTTTTATAAAGCAGAACACTTGCATTGGCCTTGGTGAGATGGTATAACAGATTGTCTTGAACAAATACCATTAGCTGTGCTCATCACAAGGGTAAAGTCAAAAATTAAAAACATTAAGGTATATGTTTTTTGACTCTGTACAAATTGGTGTCTAATGTCAGTTTAAACACCCTCTGTATATATCCAGAATAACTGAGGGCTGTTATATATCCCTAGATGATATCTGGTGGTAGATAGGAAAGTTGTGAAGAGCCCTGTAAATTGTCTTTCATCCTGTAGCATTCGTCTTTTTAATTGCCAGCCAGCTTGCGTTTTGTTAGGTGTTACTAAGCTTTTGGAAGCTGGTTTCTTAAGATATCGACTAAGTTTGTTATAGCAGTGTTGGATTTGTGTATACTGAATTCTTCCACTTGTGTTCTGCTCTGTCTGGACTACCTGGTTTGTGTATCTGAATTTAATCACTTTCAGGCTATTTCTTTTTTTTATGAATTTGCAGAGTCTGTCCTGGAACCCACGTAAATATTTGGGTCCACGGTATCCTGTGGAAAGTTCAGCTTGATTATAATTTCACAAAGAGCTGTCCTCTTTTATTAGTTTTGAACCAATCTTCAGCTATTGTCTTTTGGCCCTTTATTCTTATATTGGACAAGACAGTGAACAATCTCCGTGCAACTTCTCTGAGCCATTAATTTTGTAGTTTGTTGTCTTATTTCCCATTTCATCTATAAGTAGCCTCCACCAGGTATAAGTAGCGTCCACTCCATGTTAAAAAGGCTGATCTATTCAGTTGTCGATTTTTTGAAAGTTTTTCCATACCTTTTTTAACTTGCCTTTGTCTGAGCTCTTTTTTATTTTACGAAGAAGTTTTTATTTTTGGAGGTTGGGGGTTTTTTTGTTTTCTTTTTAAGGAAAGAGAACTAAACCTGCACTCAGTATTTCAAACACAGGCACAAATTGGTTCTATACACTGTCCCTGTTTTGTTTATTTTTTTAACTATTTATTGATCCATATGGAGCACTGAGCAGTTCAAATGATCTAAATTAAACAGCCATATATCGAGATCTAGTGGGTGATAGTTATTAGCTCAGAGCCTGTGATTCTGTGTAGGAACCCAAAATTTCCTCATGCCTGCAGACACACAGGCTTTGCTTTATATTAATCTGTAATCATTGCTTCTGCTTATTGTACATCACAGTCCTCTAATTCTTCAGTTAGCCCACATCTTCACAGTGTGGTGTGACTTTGTATTGTCAACAGTCTTCATCAATTAACTACTCATCCCCTTCGTGAGGTAACTTATGAATATATTGAAGAGCATAAACCAATGCAGATTTTCTGCAGGGATTTGGAGGTGACTTTCTGCAGTGTGGAAACCACTTCAGCAGTTCCTTAAGTATTGCTCCATGCTAAAGCTTTCCCCCTTATGACTTAGAAGCACAGTTTCCTCAAAATTTAAGTGAGGGACTTGTGGAAGCTTTTTGGAGACTCAAGTAGTCTCTGTCATTCAGCTGTCCTTTATCCGTGTTGTACTATCACATACTCTTGATAAATTCCATTAGTTTTGGAGGAGAGGACTACAGAATGATTTGGGTTAGAAGGGACCTTAAAGATCATCTAGTTTCAGTTCCCCTACCATGGCCAGGGACACCTTCCACTCAACCAGGTTGCTCAAAGCCCCATCTAACCCAGCCTTTAACACTTCCATCCACCACTTCTCTAGGAAACCTGTTCCAGTGCCTTACCACTCTCACAGTAAAGAATTTGGTCCTAATATCCAATCTAAACCTACCCTCTTTCAGTTTGAAGCCCTTCCTCCTTGGCCTATCACCAAATGCCCTTGTAAAAAGTCCTTCTCCAGCTCTCTTGTAGCCCCTTCAAGTACTGAAAGGCTGCAATGAGGTCACCCCAGAGCCTCCTCATCTCCAGGCTTTGTTACCTGCGTGACAACCAGGTTGAATCTTTCCCAGTATATTATTTGATTGTGTCCACTAAGTCTATTCTTGACTAATTTTTACTAATTAGCACAACAGAGATCTGTCTGGATCTTCCTTCAGGCCATCTTTAAATACTGACTGTATTTTCAACGTGATTTCTTTAGGTGCTTTGTCAGCTCCAAGGGAGAAGTTCTGCACCTTGCCTAACAACACAGCTATTTCATTACTGCTTATATATTCACGGATGCTTCTGCATGATCTGAGACCCTCACAAAGCAGGTTAAAGTGTGGAAACCTCTCCTATATACATAAGAATTCTACTTTGCTTCATCAGATGTACCTTTACATTTGATTGTCTGTTGGCCTTTTTTTGGATTTCTGTTACCAGTCTTTAAGGAAAGAATTGATAGTTCTGTTGTCTCTTCCTTTTTCAACTGGAAGGCTGGAGAGTAATATGTTTTCAGATCACATTTGTCGAAGAGTGTAATTCTCTTAATTTTTCTTCTTGGACACATGCAACTTTTGGTAGGGAACTTCTTCCCCTCTAGGGTCCTCTCTCTCCAGTTCAGATACCTCTAGTTCAGGTATTTCGAGATGTTGCTTTAGGCTCTTTAGAGCCCAGTATTAAATACTGACATGCTAATTGAATTTCCTCAGTAAGACATTTTTTTCTAACCTGATATTTTACACTTCTATTAAGTAAAGGGCATTCTAGTTATACAGTGCTGTCCTTTTATTGGCGATCAGGTTCCTGCGTACTGCTTAGTGAGAAAGAGGAAGGAGAGGTCAGTGTTAGGCATGAAGGATTGTAAGCTGGTAGTGTGTTAAGGGAGTGGTCAGAAAAATTATTCTTCAGGTACAGAGATTATGGCTTTTTTTAGCTTCTGATGAGATGATCCTGTGGGGGTTAGCTCTGGTGGTTGCAGGTTGTCCTCCCTATTCTTTTGGAGTTTATTGCTTTACCCTCAGCTTTATTGTCAAAAAGAGGATGAAAAAAAATACCAAGATTTTTCCAAGTTCTCCTACCTTTCTGCTTTCATCATAATATGGCCAGTCTTCGCGAGCGAAGATTTGGGAAAGGTCATTAACCCTTCGAGCCTGCGCAGTGGATTTTTTAGGTGAGACACAGCGTGCGCTGAACTGAGCCCACCCTTTAATCCTGAGGTTCATCTGCCGGGGCCGAGCAAGCTTGGACAGTGGCAGTGAGGGTCTCAGGACGTAGGTTTGTTTAGAGTGACCTTCTCTTAGATGGATTGCCTTACAGGGCTAACGAGCTCCATCTGCCCAGGGGGCTGGGAATCGAACCCAGGTCGCAGCAGTGAGAGTGCAGCACCCTAACCACTAGACCACCAGGGGCATAGGCCTGAATATAAGGCTTGATTTGTTTGGATTTTAGGATTGTTGGGTTGGGATTTTCTTCAAAAGTTCAGTTGCTCAGCATATACCTTTGTGTTGTGCTCAAAGTTCAGATTTTAATACATAGCCCATTTTGAGTCCAAATGGTTTTAACCATAAGCAGAGGAGAAGTTGTTTGGTTTGTTGGGGTTTTTTTCTAAACTTCAAGGGGGGGAAAACCCTTTTTTAATATTTATTTATAGGCTTGGTGTGGAAGAACTAGGAATTGGAAATGTAGAGAACTAACTGTGATAACTGCTCTGTTATAACCATCCCATAGGGTGGAAAAGAGCCAAGTTATTGAGCCAGCCTTATATCTGGAAAAGTATTGACCACCAACTGTTATAGGTCTTGTCCTAAATAATGCTACCATTTGCAATGCTTCCTGTAGTCTGAGCAAGATGGTCCTATCTTACAGGGAAAGGGATTCTGTCAATAAATCTTCCCTTTTTTGAGAGATCTCAAATGAGATCTTTAGTACTGATCCTCTTCTAAAGAAAATTGAAACATTTGAAGGATTCTTTTTTTTTTGCTTCCACTGTACCTTAAAATATGGATTTTAATATGCCTTATGTTTAAAGTACAACTTCTGTCTTGTTTTGAGCCTGCCACCTGCTTATTTTATTTGATGGCCTTTAGATGCCGTATAGAAGGATCTTCATGGCTAATAAGCTGTTTGCCATCTGGCTTTTTCAGCGCTCAGTGTCTTAGTGTTTTAAATACTGAAGTTCTTAATGTGGGATAAATCTGCTACATAGAAGAAAAAGGATAGGGCTGTTTCTAAAAGTGGAGGGAAGAGATTAGAGCACTCATGTTGGGACTAGAGTTTTACCTTTTAGGGGAAAAACCAGTAATATTAGGGGAAAAAACAATAATATTAGGGAAAGTCGTTGTCTTTTAAAAGTAGGGTAGAATGTCTTGCTAAAACATTTTAAGAATAATGCTCCATGATGACATAGTAGTTGAATCCAGTCTCGAGCAATAAATTTTCTGATCACTTCCAAAAAATGCAAAATCATATGTACAAGTGTCTCAATCTTGGTGTTGCTTCTTATAGAAATATTTGCATACTTCCAAAGACGAAGTACTTTAGACATAGAATAATGGGGTTTAGTATGGAAAATAGCCAAAGTCGTACGTTGAAAAAAATGGACAGGAGTGCATTTGCCAATAAATTAAGGGGAAGATCTTTTACTTCCATTTTTTTTAACCTTTGCTATTTTGAGGAAGTTTGCCTTCTTCCTGAAAAAAAGTAATTATTTTTTTAGGTACCTTTCTCTCTTGGAAGCAGTTGTGGGACTAGTTATTTTTCTCTAGGCAACAGATGAAATTCATAGTATGAGGAAAGAGTCTCATAAATTACCTTATTCTTTTCTTGAATTCTTCCTCATATGGAACCCCTCAGTGCAAGTGTACACAAAGCTAGTCTGAAAACAAGATCTGTTTCTTGGGGTGATTTGGGGTTTGTGTCCTTTCTTTATTTTTTTTTAAAGGTAAATAGGGATTATGAAATGCTAATCACCATGTTACTAATGATAAGGCCTCCAGCTAACATTTGCTAAATAATGATGTCTTGGGTTATTTATATGATGGAAGATCTTGCAAATAATTGAATTCTTTTACCTAGTTTTGCCAGCTGCAATTGAAGAAAGTTGACTGCATGTTTTAGAAAATATAACTAAAATATAACTAAATATCTTTCCCTTGAGAACAGGGATTTGAGAGATTATGGCATCTGAAGCTCACAATGTTAAAAACCAGAAACTATTGCATATCGAAGGTCATCCCATTGATCTCCGCAGAAAAGGAATCTCTTCTTCCACTAAAAAGATCATGAAGGAGGTGAGCTGGTTGTAGTGTTTGTTGGGTTTTTTTATGTCCCCTGATGAAACTGAAGTAAACATTCAAACAGGTCTGTAGTTCTGAGCAGTCTAAAACTAGAAGCACAGCACTACTAGGCACTTCATGTTTAGATAATAGAGCTTTAGCTTAAACAGCAATTACGTTATGAAAACTATGCATTACAATAGACACAGGCAGTGGCTGCACTCATAAGTGCGTTGTGTTGTCCAGGTGAGCAGTAGGTACTGATACGGTTTTATTCATACCTGTTTTTCTGCAATCTAGCCAAGAATGTTTAAATACAGGAATTCTGTCATGAAAAAGTTCTCTCTTGCCAAGAGAGCTCTATGATACAAGTGAGAGGTGGAGTCGGTGAAACACCTGCATTGAAATGGATCTGTTGTCTTATAATCGTACAGCTTGATCTACCACATTGGCTGGTAACACACATATTTTCACTGAATTCTTACTATTCAAAACCAGTTTTCATAACCTCTTTCCTGTGTTGCTGGCTGAAGAGTAAGGCAGTGGAGTAAAGAGGAAGCACTAGGGAGGTAAACTCACTGTGAGATCTCTTCAAACAGTGGTGAAGATGCCAATATCCTCTATGTGTTAACAAAAAAGATCATAACATTGTTTTGCTGATGTGCACAATGTAAATGTTACTGTTAATGTTAAATAGTATAAATGGGAGTGTTTGGGCCTTTTTTATTAATAAAGCTTTTTTCTTCTCTGTTTCCTTTCTCCCAGGGTAAGAAATCTCCAAAACAGCTGGCTTCATACACAAACAGGTAGGATGGCTGTGCTCTGTAGTATCTGAGTTTCAAGTACAATGGTGGTAGGGAGGAAGAAGCAGTTGAAATCAATTACAACACCAAAGCAGACGCAAATGGAAGATAGGTCTTGATTTTACTGACAATTCTTGGTTCTTGTGTTCCTTTCTGTAATAAGTCTGCATTAATAAAAACAGAGAAGAATATTAGTGACATTTCTTCTGATAACCCAAATGTCATGAAAGTATATACTGGGGAAAAAATGTTTTCAATAACCTGGAAGTTGACTACTGAATTAATAATTATATATTTTAACTTAATAATGTAAAGTATTGATTAGGTTTAGAGCAACCTTCACTAAAATACTGCTTTGTTATTGCAGAATAACGGTTGGAAAAACGGTGACCAGTCCCCTCTCTCTTTTCAAAGTGGTATATTGTAAAAGAAAAGTTCATTGTTATACTCCAAAGCCTTGTTACAGAAAGAAACTGTGCCCTAAATCTAGGGGCCGTGACATGGCAAATAAAGAAAATGAACTGGCTTGTGCAGGGAATCTGCCAACAAAACTTCACAACAGTCGTACACACTTGCTAAATTCTAGTGACTCTGGCTCATCTCAAACAGAAGGCCCCTCCTCCAAATACAGTGGATTTTTTTCAGAGGTAAGTAACGTTTGAAGAAACTTGAGTTTAAAATAAAAGTATTCCTGGTAGTTAACTGTGAAAGTTTTCATGTAGATTAATTTTCTTCAATTCTTTAAATTTCGGGTCTTGTGATTTACAGTCACTATCTATCAGTTTATGGTGATACAGTTGTCAACAGTAATAGTCCTGCCAGTTTTCCCCATGTTTGTGTCATGTCAGAAGCTCAGATCTGCCAGACTAGACTGGGTTAAAATTGTACCAGCAGCAAAGGAAAACATTGTTTTGACTTCCTTAGGCTTCATGATCTGACTGAACACATGGCCATTTACATGTTTATAGAAGTGTGAAAGTGTATCAATGGGAATAAACTGGTGAGGTAGGCTTGGACAATTTTCAATAGCAGTATCAACTCTGTGTGTGTGAAACTAACTTAAGTGTTTGTTTAAGGCTGTATTTCTTGTTAAGATTGCTTGAGGAAATGTAGTAGATGCTTTCAGGGCTCCTGAATCTGGCTAAAAGGTCATACATTTAAATGAAATGGGTTTTGTGACAGTGAAGGCCATTGAAGTCCCTGAGGCATGGCAGGCAAGATAAGATCAAAGACTATCACCATGCTGTCTTTTCCTGGTGCTGTAAGTTTGGGCTTCTATGAAGAGAACCTTGAGAGTTCGGTGGACTGAAGGTGCAAGTCTGTGGCATCCTGCACTGTTTAATTTGATAGTTTCAGGAAAGGAGCAGCAGAATAGCTACAGTTAAAGAGGTTGCAGAAAGAAAGGTAAAGAAATGGATACTGGGGAGGATTCATTCTCTGAGAAACTAAGGACTAGATCACTGAACACAGATGACTACTTAACTACTTAACTGGTTGGAGAGATGTGTGTGGCTCTGCAGTGTTCATTCCAATCCAAGGTCTATTTAATAAAACGCCTGAACTTCATTCAGAGAACTAGCTTTTTTCAGAAATGAAGCTTTTCTGTCAGAATTTGGAACATGTAGTTATTTATGTTTAAATTGTGTCAAAATTATTAATCATCTGAGTAAAAAGTTCTCAGAGTTCATAAGAATTACAGTTTGATGCTCATGAGTGCTCTATTTAATTATTAGATACCTCTCTTTAGGTGGTAAAGAGATACGAACCTTATTCTTATAGCTTTGGCGTAAAGTAGGTTTAATATTTTTGTCCCCTTCTAAGGGAAATTTGTGGATTTAAGGCCATTGTCAGCTAAATTTCTAAAACAAACTCATCAGCATACCGGTAGAAAAGTGTATTTTCATATACTAGATTACTGTATTAGAGCAGTTTATTGTGTTATTCCTGGCTACTTAACTTGTGGCAAACTTCTTTTATATTTTAAAAAACATATAGGTTTCTCAGGACCATGAAACTATGGCTCAAGTTCTTTTCAGCAGGAATCTGAGGCTGAATGTAGCTTTAACCTTCTGGAGAAGGAGAAGTATAAGTGAACTGGTAGCCTACTTAGTGAGGTAAAATAAGTGTCTCTTTTATATTCTTAAAATAATAGCAATCCCAAATATGCTGCAGTATTTTCAGCAGTTCCTTAAGTGTTGTAACTTTGTTATACTTTTTAAATTCTAGTGGAAGCATATACTTTGGTAACATTTCTGATTTTATTCTTAATGTTTCTAGGATACAAGATCTTGGAGTAGTAGTAGACTGCCTTCCTGTTCTTACAAACAGGTACAAACAAACAAAAAAAAAGTGGGGGATTAGAATCTCCTATAACAACATTAGAGTTCAAACACTTCTGAAACATCTTGTTTTTTAAGTTTACAGGAAGAAAAAGCATATGTTTCAGTTGGCTGCTGTGTAGATCTTTTGCCTTTAGTGAAGTCTCTGCTTAAAAGCAAATACGAAGAGTAAGTATCAATTCTGGAAGTTTTCAAAACACTTATTACTTCCTGGCTATGCAGAGCCCTGGAAATTAATGGGTTTTAGTCCTCTGACTCTTTTTCCCTCTGCCTCTTCTCCCAGCTCTGCCTTTCTCAGGAATGCCTACCTGAGGGGGAGCTTTCCTGTGAGTCTTTGTCCTTTAACAAACTAGAGGTGCAAAAACTTTTCTGCAAGGTCAAAGACTTGGGGGAGAGGACTGGTTTTGCCCTTACGCAGATTTATTTATCCTAAACAGTGAAACAGAATAGCACTAAGGGTTTAATATGCTTGATGACATAAAATCAAGGCAGAGTTTTCAGGCAAAATACCTGAGAAATTTCTTCTTTTTCAACAAGAACTTCAGTTTACCACTTAGAAATGGCAAATGTACGCAAGTATTTAAACTTGCCAATTTGTCTAGATTTTTCTTCTTCCAGAACAGCAAATGTGTTGCTTTCTTAATTTCTTGCCAATTTACCTTGACACTCTATCTGACCTGTAGATACTGTATGTGGAGGATGAAGTGCATAATGTGTAAAATATGTTGTTACAGATATGTGATAGTTGGTTTAAACTGGCTTCAGGCTGTCATTAAAAGATGGTGGTCAGAACTATCTGCACATACAGAAAAGGCAGAGGATGGGTGAGTACAGTGTTGGGAAATATTTAAATTTGTTTCTGTAGCTTATTTTATCTCAGAATGTTTTAATTTTGATCAGTAGGAGCCTTGCCTACAAAAGACAAAATTATACTCATAATTTGAAAGTAAAAGCTTAAAAGTACTTAAAAGTGGTTCTGTTCATAAGACATAGATAGTGTTTGGAAGCTTACTTTAAGGATAATCCAAGTTTTTGGTTTTGTTTTGGTTTTTGGTTTTTTTTTGACCAATGTTTTAGTACATGTAGAACATAGTCATATCAGGGGTTATACAAATGCTGTAGAAGTTGGATCAAAATTTTTCAGATCTTGTGGTAATATCTATTGTATAGGCTAAGTCTGTATGCAGTATTAATGCATTTTAGTCAAAAAGACTGCTGAAATATACTACATATGTTATAAAGTGTTGTTCATTCTTTTTCAGGAATATTCATATTTTAAAACAACAGCTGAGTGTTTTATGGGAACAGGAGAATCATCTTACTATGGTTCCAGGATATACTGGTAGTATAGCTAAGGTAATCCAGTTCCAGTTGTGTTCAGTAGCAAACGAAGTTGTATCACTGGCAGTATTCCTCTTGTTTTATTTATGCTAAACTGGGGATGGATAGAAATACCTTTACTTATTTTCCACTAATGCTCAAGCATATTGCATGATTTTTACAGAAGCCTGGAGTGGATTCCCTGTGATGATAGGAGTATAGTTTTTTATCCTTTTTTCGTTCTTTACAGAGGAAGCATCTCCTTAATAACAAAGTAGCTAATAGTAATAAGCCTTAAAATTGATGTAAAAAAGGGCTCAGATGAGTAGGTAGACTGTGGAAAAGACAGATGTTTTCTCTGAAATCTGTTGTACCCATGGTTGTAAGTGTGAGGCAGAATGGAGAATCTTAGCTCAGGAATGTCATTAGTACTTACACATCAGGTGACGGGGCGAGTGACAACATACTAAATTTTAAAGCTTATTGCTGACCTAATGCTTAGAAAATTATGAACTTGTGGAGAGCAGAAGAGCAGATCTATCTAAGCCAAATCCCTGTTTGCCTTTCTCAGTAGGTTGTGGTGTCAGTAATATAATGAGGGTGTCTGGTAGATGCATGTTTTGCTGCTTGTTCTCGTCTCTAGTAACAGGGCTTTCTGAGGTTGGGCACCAAGAGTTATGCTAAGCAAAAAACCTCTCCACATGGAGAGACCTGGTGGAGGTAGACAAGTGAGAAAGAGCTTACAGCAGACACTTGGTTAGTTATGTGCAGGATTTGAGTGAACTTGAAAAGAACTTAACGTCTTTTACTTACATCTTAAGAAGTTTTGTGGAATCCACAATTCTCTGCCTACAGAATTGGTCTATTTTGATGTATCAAACAAATAAGTTATATCTTGTTTTTCTGGGACTGCTGTGCACCCGTGACTTCAGTTTTGGTATCTCTACAAGGATAATTAAGAGCTCCTTGCAGAGTTTGTCAGCGGGATGCAGAATAACTGTGTTCTAACTCCCAACTGGTAGAGCTGTGAGAGTATCTAACATTGACTGCCTAGTTCTTTTGCTAGATCAACATAACAGCTAGTGTCAGTTTGTTTCTCTAGGATTCAGGTTCCCCTTATGTTCATTTGCCTGCTTCTTAATATATATCAGGATAGATTGTGGCCATGGTCACCTGAGAGAGTCAGGAGCAAAAGCAGTACAAGAATGTTGGAAGGATTGGGTACAAGAGTGTTGGAGGGATTGGGTGAAGGAATATCACACTTGACATGTTTAAATTACATGATTGTATGATGATGATGATTATCATTGCTGTGTATTCAGGGAGCAGAGGGATAATAGACTAAATTGATGGCTTTGTAAACTAATCCTGCTGTTCTTGCAGGCTTTTTAGTAGATAGAGAAATGTCATTGAAAGCATTAATTGAAAGTAATCATGAAGATAACTTATTCTGAAATTTGACCTAATATAATTATTCTTGTGTTATGGTCCTGATTAGTTACCCCGCTTCAGACATAGAGTTGATATTACAGCTATAAATAATGTGACAAAGTCTTTCTCCTTTTTTTTTTTTTCCTTCTAGGATGTAAATGCTTATTTATTACAGCTACACTGACATGATTGAGAAACTATGTGTGCTCATGTGGTGAAACAATCCCCTAAAGTATCCCTGAAATACGTACAGAAAGCCTTTTGAGAAATACTGGCAGAAGAGAACTGAACTGTCAAGCTGTTTAATGAAACCACTAACAAAATCCTAGCAATCTACTTCACATTGAAGTGGAAAAATGTCTAGTAGGAGCAACTTTTACTTCAGTGAGGTGAAAGTGCGCTATGAAAACTGTATGCCTTTGCTGCATTTGGGATTCACTCAATTACTAGGTATTCATTTAAATGCTACTGTATTTTCCTACAACATCGCATAAAAGAAGATGAATTATACTGTCATGAAGGCAAGACAGCAGAACCAGTTATAAGGAACCAACAAAAGCAATCAGCATTAAGAGCTTTTAAATGTCTCTTTCACAAGAGAACTCCAAAATGCACAACTATCTTCCAATTACATTAAAAAAACCCCATCTTTGGGATATTCAGTTACTTCTATGTTTTAATCAAATTATTAAAGACAGTTTTTGTTTGCACTAAATAGAAACTATACAGCAAAGATGCCTTAATTACTAGTGTTTTGAAAAGCCAATGTGTTAAGATGCAAATAGCTATTATGTTCATGATTGTGATGAAAAATGACAAAAATCAGGGTTTCACATTGTGTAGTTAATGAAATATTGCACATATACAAAGATTCATGTATGAAAAAATATTATAAATACCTGAAGTTAAGCTTGGATAAACAGTTATTGCAAATGTCAGCAGAATGGTGAATTTATGTCTAACAAATGTTTTTATATTGTATGTGGATTTCTAACACAGTAATCTTGTTCTGTATCATTTAAACTACATGCAAATAAGTAAATATATTAAATATATCTACTGTTTTTTCTTTTCAAGTTCAAAAAATACCAATTTCTAGAATCTGTTCCGCAGTACTTTTTATCATAGATATTTATGTCTATTGTTTGAAATGTTTACAGCCAGGTGAGGCCATGTTATTCAGATCACATCCTTTTTATACTACCTCCTTTAAGAAACTGACAAAGAGCTTTTGCAAAATTAAGTTCTAGCCTGATCAGTAATGGCAAATTTATACCAACAATAGCATTGAGAATACAGCTATAAGTTCTTTTGCTGTCATATTGCTATGCTGTTCTATTTTAATTTAAAAGCTATACCTTAATAGCTCTGAGGGAGTCTTGATTTTAGGCTTGCTGTTGCCTTTTTTAATTTTGTGATTAGAAAGAATGCTTTTTCAATTAAAACTTATGAAGTGCCAGCTCTTTACTTAAAACACAGATATACATGCACAGCATGTATGACCAAATCTACTTTCTTAGAAAACTAAGTACTTACAAGGGTTGTTCTCATACCTAGCATTAAGCATGTGCACTTTTATTGCTGTGCAGGAGAAAAGTCTTTTGATAGCCCCAAGTGGTTTTTGCTTTACAGATTAAATAAATGAATTTTAAAGTCCTGTAGTGGTCAACAACTTTAGACCTCCTGATGCTTCATTTTGTATTTAGTTTACATATTGTTATTGCTGACTTCTAACGGCCAAGTAGAAATGTCATCAGAACTTGGTGCTTTTGGTTATTTGAATATCCAAAGGTTTCGCACTTCCCAGGGCAGTCAGTTAACAGAGAAAAGTTTCTGGGACATCCCAAACTCGATAACTTTGTGGGACAATCTGGAGACATGCACACAGCCAAATTATTTTTGCTAGTTATCATTAGAGATATTTCATGCTCAAAAGAGTTTGAGATAGAACTTTTCAAATGTTCTTGCTGTCAGTTAAAAATTTAAAGAAACTACAGTATGACAACATTCTTGTATTACTTTACTGTTCTGTTGACCAATTAAATGTAAAAGTAACATAGAGTCTAGCTTCATAATTTGGGTAGCAATTGCTGAAGCTCTTAGATTATTCCTCAAGGAGAATACTGTAAAGGTAATGGAAACTCAGATCTTTTCTCTTGTGGTGTTTTTAATGGACAAAATGAAGTAAGTCAAGGCCATTTACTTCTGATAATAGAAGTAATAGTTGTAATTGATTAAAGGGATACCCTAGTACTTAAAAAACTGGCTTGACTGTAGATGTAAATACGTGGACTTTTAATGAATTCTTGTATGTGGTCATGGAGTTACCAAATCATAACTGTGGATGGTGCTTTTGTTCTAGAGGCAAGGTAAGATTGACTTGAGGATTGTTATTGAGAAATTACTAATAAAATAGTGCATTCTTTTTAACTGCCAAAAGTTGTATTTTGACAGCATCAATAATACAGTATTAAACATTGTCAGTATCTGTGCCTTATTTTAAATGAATTTTCTTACTGTTTTCAGGCAGCTACTAGACTGTAAGAACAGGATTCCGATGTCTCCGTTACGAAATTATTTTTGTGTCATGATCTTAATTTAAACTATTCACACTATATTCAGGCTCAGCTTCTTGTATTCTCTTTAGTTCTCAAATGGCTAGGAATCAGTTTTGCTGTTACAGAATGTACAAGTGTAATATCTGGTCAAAGGACATGAGTAAAATGTCTTACTAGCTGTATAACTCCATTAATTCCATATAGTTGTCTCAGTGAATCCAAGAATTAAGTTTATGAACTATCATATGCATAAGTGCTATCATGTGATACTTTCTGAAAATGCTGTTTCTAGGATATGTCTTAAGAATCAAGCAGAATTAATCCTTTTCCTATATGTTCTTGTTATGCAGAAGCACTTATGTACTTGAGGATGAAGGATTCCTCCACAAAGCTGTTCATGTTATACTATTTGATAAGAAACTAATATCTTTGAAAAACAGTGTGTCTTTTGCCTCAATGTCCCCTGAAAATACTTAAGGCTGTATTGCTTAAAGAGTACTTATTTGAAGTGTGACCTAGGACTTACCCATTCCCTAAACTGAAACTGAAGAATCCTTCTGGCAATCTTTCTCTTTCTGCAGAGTTAAGGAAAAAGAAAATCCAGTGTTTTGTAACTAAGAGTCAAAGTTTAGGTATTGCTTAGAGCTTGCTGAAGAGTGGAGATAGAAAAAGCTACCCCATTAATTAGCTGGATAAGAAGTTAGCATGTCTTAATGATTATGTATGTCTCAGTTTTGAAGGAGTTACACCTATTTCTCAGTAAAGAGTACTCATATCACACAGGTACTGCTACTTAATAGTGCTTACAGATTGTTGCTGGTATTAAAAAAATTAGCATTAGCCTCCAGCAGCTTACCTTCTGCAGTGAGATATAAATAAAATGATCTCTCCCTTCCTGTAGGCTGCTTTATTGTTATCACAGTTTTAACACTTGAGGTGCAGGGGGGCTGGGAGAATAGGAAAGGACAAAAAAGTACACATGTGCTGTGTAGAGGGACATCAGCCCCACTGCGTTATACCATAATGTAAAGCAGGCTGTGTTTTCACTGTCTGGCATCTGAAGCAGGCAAGTTTGGAGTTAGAAGTCTTTACACATTTTGCATTGAAGAGAGAAAGGTTTTGAAGATGGATGCTATAGTGCTAATTTGTGATGTGTTGATTCTTTTTTTTTCTTGAATGAGTGGACATTTTTGTGTGTAGAAACTTGAAAGTATCTAAGCTTACATTTTGAATTAGCAAATGGTTGCTTTTGCCAGTTCATCTTGCCAGATCTTCCAGTTTTACAGAAGACTGAACATCTGTCTAAGTGTGGAGATTTGCAGCTATATTTTGTGCTGAGTTTTCTGGTACAAAGTGAAACAGGTGTTTCATAGTCAACTATTTCAGAATACAAAACCATGCAAATCATCCTACTGGTGTGAAGTTATTCCAACTTTTCACAATGCAAATGTTTAATTTTGTGAAAGCAGTTGATTCTTATGTAAGGAACTTTATATTGAGTTGATGCTGCATTAGAGGAGGAAAAAAAAATGAAGCCATTTTTAATAGCCTTTGTAAAAGCCAGACAGCGTAGTCTAATTTTTCTCTTCAGTCTACTATCCTACACACAGTAATCATTGTAGGCTACAGATAAACATTCACAGAGAAAATAGATTGAGCATGCTTGTGTTTTTAATGCTTATATTATCCTTCCTTAGACAATTTATGTTTAGTCTATGAGTTAAATGGCTTGGTGTGTCTCAGAAGGAGACTAAATGCAAGTGTTTTTCTCTCTGCTTCCACATTTGTTCTTCAAGTCTTAATGAAGTTATTTATTCCTCTTTAGTTTAAATATCCTTTGAGTGTCTATTTTTAGAAGGGGGGGAGGGGAGGATGAGAACTCTAGACAAAACACGGGGCTAACTATTTAACAAGATTCATTTTGAAGCAATTGTGAAAACTTTTCATCTCTAAAACTTTTCACACAAATTTTGTTAATAGCTACTAATTGAAGTGGGCACTCACAGATGCAAGTTTGACTTTGAACCTTGTTGGAAAAAAATAAAGTGTTTTCATTCTAAATAACCATAGCTGCAGTATTGTTTCTATTTCTTCTTGGTTTTTTGCATTGAGTACTAAACTGGATTCTTATTAGCTAGACTAACCTGCTGTCAGGGAGACAGGATGTATAGCACTGTCCCTTAAAGGGATAAAATAGAAATATTCACATAGTCTTCAACTATTGCAGATCTAGCATATTTCTGTTTTCATACTGACTGGATTTTTGTAATCTCTTTATGTAAATTGTAGCTGCTGATCACATTGCTGTAAAATGAGATCTGCTACTTTCAGGTTGAATGTGTTGCATAGTTGTTTCTGATTTATATGGAACACTGCTTCAATTCAGGCAGTCATTACTCTTGAGCACTAACTAAAGTGTAGATGAGCAACTAACTGTTGGGGTCTCTGTGCTCTGCTGTAACAAAATACAAGGATGGCATGTTTATGTTTTCCACCTTTATATTTTTCCATTATTCCTTAATTTAAATGCTTAAACCTATTTTAATTCCCTCTGGAAAATGATAGCTGCCAAAATGTGATAAAATGCTTTTACAAGTACGCTTCTGACTTGTTTTGATAAAGTTCTGTGAATAGTAGTTTTCTGTGGATTTGGGAAGGAGGATGTTTTCTATATGTGTAGGCTTCAAATAAACAGAACCAATGGATTTTACTGAAATTCTATTCATATCCTTGATACTTTTTTTTTTTACATAAGCATTATGTGAATTGTGAAACAATTAAACCAAATGTAAATATCAAGATAATATTACATTCCAAGACTACCTGCTCTTACAGGTGTAAGTGTTGAAATACGTACGCACCCTAGTATCATACTTTAAAGTGACCTGCAGACAGTTTCAAATAGCTCTTGTAATTTACTTTGATGCCTCTTTGTCAAGTTGTATTTAATCTATTGAACTTCACTTTGAAAAGCCTGAATTATGTTTGGATCTTGCAGTTGTCACTTTCACTCTTATTTCAGATACTCTGTGGATTGAAAGACTTAACATAATAAGTATTCCAGCTTCAGAAAAATAGCTGGTCTTTTTGTGACAACAGGCTTTCATTACATCTCTTCTGCATGAAACAAACTTTTTTTCTGTAAGAGTTAAATAATTTTTAGAGACACTTTCAGAGGATTGCCACATACAAGAAGCCTGTGGCATGTTTGGTTTTAAATGGGGAAATTGCACAAATACAGGCAGCTGTTAGGACAACAGCACATTTCATTACTGTTGAATTGTCTTATCACATGTGAATCAGCTGTCCTATTATCTACTTAGTCTAGATAAAAGTGGAATGATGGATTATTGAGGAGTTGAAGTCTTAACAAGTCTTGGCTGTGAGAAACTAAAACTGTTCTTTCCATTCTGATGAAATTGCTACAATTAATGCAGAAAGGAACTATTTTGTGTGTTCGGTTTGGAGAGAAGTCTCTTAATACTTTCTGTGTCTGCTAATAGTACTTTGTCTTGAAGCTTAAAGACATAGGCATTTATGTGTTTGCTTAAAATAACATTAGGTTTCTGACTGAAAAGGAAAAAAAAACCTTGCTGCATTAGTTCATTTCTGGATGACTGTGCCACCTCATGTTCCAGCTGCAGAAAATAGTAAACTGTATTAACCACCATTGTACAAATAGTGTTAAAACTTTGTTTTCAGCTTTTTAAGGCTTAGGCAAGTAAAGTAAGCAGTAAAGCAAATTAGTAAAGCAGTAAAGCAAAGCAGAACTAAAGAATTAGTGGGCAGGTTTTGTTCTCAGCCTTGTATTTTAGTAACTAAAAGCTTGACTTTTTAATCAGAGAGAATGAATGGTGAACCTTTTTGTTACTTATAAATAAAAATTAATTTGCCTTTTTTTTTTTTTTTTAAGATGTTACAGTTAAGGTGTTTCTGGATAAAGAGGGCAGAGAGGGAATTCTGAAGAGTAAGTTTTCTAAATGTCCTTTTAATTGGATGCTAGAGTACTGCTGCAAGGATACCTCTAAAAATACTGCCCTCTGAGTGGTGGTATCAGTAATTATTAAAGGGGATTGAGGGCTCAAACACAGGCAAACTCTAATCCAGACTGCCAGACTGTGGCTGATGTGTGTCTTCCTGGTTGGCAATGTAGGGAATTGACTTGCATAAAACTAGGGGAGTGTTTAAGATACAGTACAAAAGTTCCTATCACCTGAAAAGGATGCCTGTGATTGTTGGGTGATTGGGGTATGATGATACTGGAAGTCTTTCCAGTCCTGTGTGCCTAATCCACGGTAATGAGGCACTTCACAAAGGACGGCTGGAGACTTACTGCTCACAGAGCAGTCACGTTTCCTCTCAGTTGCTGCTTTCCCACCCCTCTGACACGTTGGGGCACATCTGCTTGGCTGAATTCCCAGCTCCACATGCTTGTCACTTATCCAAGTGAGAATAAAATGCCTTCATATTTGGCACACCTAGTTTCCCAAGTGGTGTCTTGTACCTCAAGTCTTCCAGGTTCTCACTACAAAACAAATTATCAGCTTAGTGGCATCGAACTGTGAAAACTCAAGAGTCTTATGCCCTATGCTGGGCAACTGTGGATGCTACCACTTGGTTTACTCCTTAGATTAACACTAGAGAAGCATAATGATGCATGCTAATGTAATGGCTGTTTCAGTCAGGAGGTTTAAGATGAAGCTGGTGTATTAAGAGTGTGTGTATATAAATGTTTTTTGAACATAAACACCAGTGTTCTACTAGTATTAATTAAAAATGCCTGCAGTTTGGAACCTTTACAAATGGTAAGCTAGTGATTGCTGCTTAGAGGTTTAAGAGGTTTGTTGCTTTGGATTGGGGTTTTTTCCCTCTTCACCCATCTTACCTCTCTCTCTGAGTACAATTCTTTAAATTTGTCGATGCCTCTTATAAGCTTGCAGAAAATGAAAATTCAGTCTTTCGGGGTTTTCTGACCACACAAAATAATGAGGGAGTTGGGCAGAGTGAGGACATGTCTTGTTCACACAATGCTGTGTAAGCACATGTATGCACTCATTGCTGTGCAGAAGTATCATCTTTTGCACTTTCCTCTGCATTCCAATACATTTATGCTCCTATTGGTGTCATATCCCTTAACATGTCTAAAGGGATTCTTTCCATCTCACAATTCTTTGATTCAAAAAGCAGATTAGCTACTTTCCAGATGAACAGATAAAGTTGCTACTGAAGCTAAAAACAAGAAAGGAGAAAAAAATCCAAAAAACCTCAACACAAACAACAACCCAGAACTCAACCCAAAACAACAAACTAGAATGTACTTGTCTCCAGCATAAAGTAGCGCTGTGGCCAGATGATAACAAATGCTACTACTGATTTGTCATTAAAAAGGGGACATAAGAATGTCTGAGCAAAGAGTCTGACATGACAAAATGTTTGGGGGTTTTTTTTAGGATTTTAGTGTATTGTGATTTAGTTTACTTTCCACAGTGTCTGAATATTTGGTTTGTGACCTCAGCCACACTACTCATGAGGGCTGTAAATAAGAGAACGCCCTTGGAGCCGTTTTCACAACTGGCAGCTTGCTAACTTCAGCTTTTACCTTGGGGACCAGCAAAACGTATTTCAGCATTTCTGCATGCAGGATTTGGCATACATACTTCAGATATTGTTTCCTCATTTGATAGATCTCTCTGAGCTCTGGAAAATGAGCATTTAGCCCCGGTGACTCCTTCAAGTCCAGTCTGGTTGAAACAGTCAAGGATTGTGCTTATGTAAAAGGAACTGCAAGACATCATTCATAAACTCACCAAATCTAAATCTTGATTGTAATAGGCTTTTGTATTGAGAAATTGTTAATCTACAGGTCTTGGTATCCTCATTAATACCTTTTTCCTGACAAAATGGATTGGTCAGTGGTTGCTTTGTAGTATTTATTAAGCTTATTCTATTTTTCATACCTTATAGAGCAGTTCCTATTCATTACTCTATGTCTCCAAGTTACTGCAGCCCACATGTTCCTGGTGTTCAGCATAACTAACTGATTTTTCAGACTTACTTGAAGTTGTCTTTTGGCCAGGAAATGTATTCAGAACTTGAACTGATTTTAATGGTCTGCAGTAATACCTTCACTGGTGTTTAGAAGCATTATACTTTTTGAGGAAAGTATCGTTTTAGTTGACATTGCAGCAGTATAATTGAATTTTACTGTCTCATCAATGAAAGACTTGAGTGAGAGGAAGAACTGATTTGAGTTGGATGGCTCCAGCAAGCCCTACCTTTTGCTCCCACATCTAGTGTGAGATAAAAGGAAGATAAACAGCAAATGCTGCTTTAAGGACAGCCTCAATCACATCTACTGTCTCATATACTGCTTTTTCTCCTCATGGCACTGCCAGCTGTGAGCCATGCAGAGTTGTGGCATGTGTGGAGCTGCAGCACTGCTCCTTGATCTGTTGTTCTGTTTGAGCTTCAGACAAAGCATTGCCTCTGCTAAGAGACCCTTTTGCTGAACCCTTAGTAGAATTCTTTCGTAGCAGAACTTCCCTTAGGAGATATTGCAAACTCATCTCAAGTTGTGTCAATGATTCAGTTATAAAAGAATCTGCTTTTCTTTCTTGTATTTGCCTGTTCTAGGCTAAGATGCCACTGTGTGCTTTGTATGCAAGGGGAATCTTCTAATGTTAAATGCACAAGCTCAAGCTTTCTAATCTCCCTATGTTTTGTCTGCCACAGAGACTGTCCAGCCAGATAATGGGCTGTGCAAAAGCCTGCGGTGGGACTTGCTGGTGGTTCACCTGAGCTCGAGCTTTCTGTGGCCTTGCTGAAGAATGCTCCTATTCCAGGTAGCTGTGCTGCAGCCAGTAACAAGTCAGTTGCTGTTTCATCAAGCATCACATTATTTTATAGAGAAAGGGATTATCAGTTTCAGAGACGACCAGATTGGTACTTATTATTTGGTTTGTTGTTTGAAGGGGTTATTTCTTCTTTTCTAAACAGGTATTACTTAGGAGCTCAATGTAATACATATTTTTAAGACTTTATGCACTGTTTCTTTCCCTCTCCATCCC